AAATTAATGATAACTTTCTTTTTGTTTGTAGGTTTAGTTGATAGGACTAATGAAAAACCAACGGTAAAGTCTCCAGTCTCAGGCAGTAGTAAACTCCTTTCAACACCCCAGCTTGCTGGTTTATGAGTGGGTGTTTGTGCGCTTCTATTTGTGGTTTTTATCGCAATAATCTACATTAGAGGTGCAGCGAGAAAAAGCAAGAACCATGCTTCTGCCCTAAGGCCCAGGAGGTAACACTTGTACTTAAAACACTTGTCCTTAAAAAGTGTCGTTTTTCAAACTTGTTTACTTCTTTTGATTTAAAATCATATATTAAAGGATATATATAGCTATTAGCAATTCAAGCTAAGAAGAGGAAAAAGTTTTTCTTTACCATTTATTCGCGCTGATTTTGATACAACTTGTTTAACGGCGCGCTCTGATTCTGATCGATTAGATTAAAACAATCGAAACTGAAATACGTTGCTGAGGTGAGCTTGTCCAAATAGATGTAGCAAAGAGTATTTTTGGGTACTGATAATTTTCCCGCGAGGTTCCGTGGCAGTTGAGCGCGGGATATATACTCTTTTACCACTAATACCTGCTTACACTTCAGATCAAAGTCCACCATTTTTACCCTCCAAAACTGGGAAGTTCTTCCGGAGCAGGTTGTATTCGGGAAAGAGATTGGTCGCGGGGCATTTGGTAAAGTACTAAAAGGCACCTTCAGAGAATCACCTGGAATGGAGGTGTTCATCAACCCTAAAAATGAGACAGTTTACTTCAAACCGGAAGAAACAGTGGCCATTAAACTCCTGGGAGGTAAGTTTTCCGGGCATTAACAAAGATATTAGAGTGTATAAAACTGAGTTAATCGACCTGTAAATCGCTAAGCAGTGAGATTCTGCCTTCAAAACCAACCTTCTTTCGCTTTTATTTTGGAAACGGAACATTTTCCAATAGGCTACTAACGCAATTATCTTAATTAGATGCAAATTGAAATCACACTGAGGTTCTCAAGGAAATCTCTCTAGTCACTACTCTCTTAAAATCTTGAGAGAAATATTTAATTGCTGTTATTCGCCGCGCACACCTGGCCTGAACCTAAAAAAAAAAACACTCACCTCATTTGAACTGATTCGATTCTCTCCTAGACAACACAGGCGACGAGGCGCGCAACCAATTTTTGGAAGAAATTGAACTTATGAAAGCAATCGGTACACATCCGAATGTTGTTCGAATGCTGGGATGCTGGGTACATTCAGATCCTATCTTTCTCCTATTGGAATATGTTCCTTACGGGGATTTGTTGCACTGGCTCAGAAGTAAGAGAATACTGGTAAGTCAGG